CAGGTTCACAGAATCACAATTCCTAGACCTAAAATATATATCAACAAGGATATCTTTTTGAACAGAAACGCCACGTAGTATTATGCTTTGTTTGGTTGGAGGGATGAAAAATATAAAGGAATGATAAGTAAAATACCTAGGTGAAAAAAGTAAAATGGTAAAAAAAGAAATTTCCTTCGTGTTGTTTGGTAGAAAAGAAAGAAAAGTGAAAAAAATGTTAAATTTAAATTATTTTACAATAATACCTTTATACATATAAAAAATATGACCGAATGGTTTAAAGTTATAATAGTTATTTTGCATCTCCTTTGCTTGCTAAATTTTTTCCTTCATATTTTCTTCCTAAAGTTGAAAGAAATGAGAAATGGTGGCCCCTATGGATTTACAGTTTCATTCCTTCTCTATTTCCTCCCTATCAAACAATTTAAAATTCTTCATTCAATTTCTTTTCTCTCCCTTTTCTACTCAACCAAACATAGTGTTAAACTCCGATTCGGTCGAGTTTCCTCGGTATTTATGGAATCCACACCTCAATAGCCAAAGCTGCCAGCTCTTCATCAATTTTACGCATTGACAACCTTTTCCATTTTGTCCGGATTGGGCTCCTTATTATCTGAATTGATCAACTTTCAAAGTGTTGAACTCAATAATAGTGGTGTATAAAAAAATAAATAAAAAAATAAAAAAAGAATACTGGTGTCAAAACGGCTCAGGCCGAGCGGAGGGACACGGGCACTGCATAAACATGCCTAGAATATTGTTAAATGGACCCGATTGATCAACACGTTTATAATAATAGGCTACATTTAATTAAAGATAAATTACACAATTATCTCTGAATGATAATAGACATTGTCACAAAATACTCTTTAAATTTTAATTTATAACACTCATTTTTTCTAAACTTTTGAAATCTTGCAAATTTTCTCATTCCGTTAAAAATTTTACGGAAAATGACACGTGATCCTCAAGCAATAAAAATTGTGGAATTGGAAGTACAATTACATAATTGCCCATATATTTACTTTATTGTGTAATTATGAAATATTTTTGGATTGGCAACGGGACCCATTATTTGTTTGTTAATAACCTGATTATTACCTCGGACATCAGCAAATGGCAACCAAAAAAAAAAAGAATAAATAAATAACCAAACAAGCAAACAAACAAACAATGATTTAAAGTTGAGCAAATTTATATGTTTTTTCATGGTTTTCTAGAGTAGAAGAATTAGAAACTAAACCACAAAATCCCCAGATTAATTAAAGCTTTCAACACAAATCTTTTAATCAAAATCCTAAAAACCAAAAGAATTGTCAACATTTCAAATGCCCAGCAATAGGAGAGACGGCGCCGTCGTATGGTGCGGTTCGCAACCTCATCATCGTCAGAAGAGAAGTCGCGGAAGGTGACGGAGGAGATCGCCAGCGTTTACGCAGCTGGGAGATCACACCATGTTTGCATCGCCGTGGGTGGGTGGGGTGAGGAACAAAGTTCTCGCCACCATCGAAGAAATTGCCGGAGGCGGCTAAGGAGGCCGCCAGAATTTGGATTTCCGCTGCCAGTTCTGGGCGGAGAAACATATTGGTCTTGTTTGAAATTGGTCGCGTTTTTATTTTTTTACGTTTTTTTTATAAAAAAAATTATTTTTAAAATGATAGCGCAATAAAAATAAAAAACAGAAATAAAAATAATTTTTTAATTTAATGTAAAATGAGATAAAAATAAAAATAATTTTTTAATTTAATGTAAAATGATAGAGAAATAAAAAATAATTTTTAGTCATTTTTTATTTTTTATTTTTATTTTCTCCTCTTTCAAGAAAAAAGAGACATTAATTAATTTTTTATACTGAAAATAATCTCGTAATAAGATTAATAAATATATTTTTAAAAATAATTTATGTCTAAAATTAAAAATATTTTAATTTTTATTTTCATATAAAATATAAAATTATTTTAAAACAAGTTTAAACATCCATTTTTTTGTCTTTGATTAATTGCATTTATTGTGAATGTTTGGCCCATTGTTGTGTTGGAACATTTTTGGAGAGTTTGGGTTTGTATCTGGTACTTTTTTTCGGAGGGAGAATAACGGCAGGTGGGACTTGGGAGGAAGGAGAAGAAAGAAGAGATGAGTTGACATTTTGCTGTTTTTACTAAAATGCCCTTAATTCCGTTAAATTTCTAACAAACGGCGAAAATTTGCAAGACTTCAAAAGTTTAGGGGAAATAACTGTTACAAATTGAAGTTTACAAGACATTTTGTGATAAGACTTTATAGTTTAGGAAGTAACCGTGTAATTTATCCTTTATTAACCTTATTTTTAGACAGAAAACACGTTAAGGGTATAACACTTGCACTATAAGACTATTTCCAATATGAATACAAATGTCAATTGTGTAAAGGTATGATATGAGAACATCTCTGATGCAATGTTATAATTGATGTGCTAATTATAAATTTAATATTTGAGTGCAAAAAATACTCTCTAATGTAATGCTATTTGGTGTGCCAAATTTACCATATGCTATATACATCGTGACAAATTTTTCACTAAGACCATCTCCAATGCAAATGTTAATGTCAATTGTATATTTAACATCAAAAAATGTGATATAGTATGTTATTTGTATTTTTGCTCCAATGCATAGTGTGATTATGCTAAATCTATTTTTTCTGGTAATCATTAAACTTTGAAAGTTATAAAAGTAAATTTTTATTTTAAAAAAAATTTAAAAATGCACAAGTTGCAATGATTACATGTAAAAGTAAACATTTCAACCAATAGGAATCAAATGTCAAATTTCTCATATGCTGAGAAATTTGTCACAAAGTATATCATATGAGAAATTTAGCACGACAAATAGCGTTGCGTTGGAGAGTTTTTTTTCACTCAAATGCTAAATTTGCAATTGGCACATCAATTATAACATTACATTGGAGATGCTCTAAGTATAGCATATAAAAAATTTGGTATTTAATTGTTATTGGTTGAAATGCTTACTTTTTCATATAATCATTGCAACTTTTATAGGAATCAAATGCCAAATTTCTCATATGCTAAGAAATTTGTCACAAAGTATATCATATGAGAAATTTAGCACGACAAATAGCGTTGCGTTGGAGAGTTTTTTTTTTTCACTCAAATGCTAAATTTGCAATTAGCACATCAATTATAGCATTACATTACAGATGCTCTAAGTATAACATATGAAAAATTTGGTATTTAATTACTATTGGTTGAAATGTTTACTTTTTTATATAATCATTGCAACTTTTATATTTTCTAATTATTTTAAACATAAAATTTTACTTTTATAACTTTGAAAGGTTAATAATTATGAAAAAAGTATATTTAGCATTTCAAATAGTATTATACATTGGAGTAAAAATAAAAATAGCATATTATATCACACTTTTTGATGGTACATATACAATTGACATTAACATTTGCATTGGTCCGATATGTTATTTTCATTTTTTTCTCTAATGCATAATGCTATTTGTAATGCTAAATCTATTTTTTTCACAATCATTAAGTATTAAAAGTTGTAAAAGTAAATTTTATTTTTAAAATAATTATTAAAAATTGTAAAAGTTACAATGATTACATATTAAAAAGGGAGATTATATGGTACACCTGGCGTATCGGTAAGTCAAGTTTTTTTAACCGTTAGTTCTGCGTATTTTTTGATTTTTACATGATTTTATGCAGATATGATGGACAGAAAACCTGATATATTGATATATTGGCGTACTGAAGACTGTTCCATTAAAAAAAGTAATCATTTCAACCAATAACAATGAAATGCTAAATTTTCTATATGATATACTTGGTTAGAATTTGCCATTGTATTAGAGAGTGATTTTTACACTCAAATGTTAAATTTATAATTAATATATTAATTATAACATTGCATTGAAAATATTCAAAGTAAAAGTATCGTTGTTGCGGTCTATCTTGAGTGGTCCCTCTCCTACTCTACAACTACGTACGAGCTTTTCGTTTCCCTTTCCTATCACGCCATACACAATTTTACATACGGTACGGTTTTATGCTTGGTTTTAGCTGAAGCATTGGCCAGTTGGTTTGAAAGGTTACCTTCTTCTTCTTCTTCTGTAAAGTCTCCCAGTTGGCTATTTTGCTAAATCAGTCTCCCAGTTGGCTTGTTGGGAGACTTGCTTCATGATAGTTTGTAGTTTTGTTATCTTATTTTCCGGGAGCAATTTGTCTTTATGTACAATAAGGCTCGCATTTCAATATGGATATAGACAATATATGCTTATAGTCATGAAAGTGATCTTCACATTTGGCTAGAGGAGATGCCTCCACCTATTGTCTCTTGTGTCCTTTCTCAAGCTTCAATAATTTGTCTTTTTAATCAATGGGATAAATATGCATACACATATAACACATACATATATGTGTATATGTATATATTGCAGTCTATATTTAGAGGAGATCTCTTATGGGGTACCCAAAAAAAAAAGAAAAAGAAAACCTCTAAACGAAGTAGTACTAGATATGCATAATCTTATTCCTTAGTTTAGGTATGTCCAGATTCAGAAACGCTTATAGTCCTGATACATATCATTTACTTTGAAAAGTTTGCATTTCAAATACCTTCCATTATTTGTTACGCATATTTCTCAACTGAATATCTCCAGAGTCCATATAAGGAGGTAAAAAGACTAGATATAGAAGGGAAATAAAAATATGTAAAAAGATTTTTCCTTTAAAATCAATTTCCTAGGAGGCATTTTTCAGATACATTCGCATCATTTAAGGAATAAAATAGTGGACTACAATCAAACAAGCCTACAAACTTTCTGACCCCACGTTTTTAAGGGCACATTATATATATGGTGTCTCACTCCCATGCCCTAACATAATTCTAGCGCAAAAAAAAAAAAAAAAAAAAAAAAAAAAAAAAAAACCAACACAAACGATACAAATACCATAGATTTTGAAAAAGAAAATCTCTGCCTATTCAAAAATGGCTTCCAAACCCCACATTGTCATCTTCCCCTTCATGGCTCAAGGCCACACCATCCCCCTTCTCGACCTCTCAAAAGCTCTCTCTCGCCGAGGCCTCAAAGTGACGATCATAACAACGCCTTCAAACGCTTCTTCCATAACTCCATACATTTCCCGTCACTCCAAAATCCACCTCATAGAAATCCCATTCCCGAAAATCGAAGGCCTTCCGAATGGCTGCGAAAACTTGTCCCAAACATCCTCGCCCGACCACCTTCTCATATTCTTAAACGCCACGAAACTCCTCCGAGAGCCCTTGGGAACGACTCTAAAGGACTTGTGCGGACATGATGACCCTCCGAGTTGTGTTGTTTCCGATTCTTTCCTCGGATGGACCAACGCTTTGTGCCGCTCTTTAGGCATTCCTCGGTTGGTCTTTAATGGAATGGGAGTTTTTGCCATGGCCGTTAGGAAAGCCTTGTCCATGCACCAAACACACAAGTGTGCAAAAGATGACGGTGACATTGTGCACGTAAAAGGAGTTGAGATTTCTTTTGATTTGTTTAGAAGAGATTTGCCTAGGTCGCTTAGGGTGATGGATTGTCGAATTTCCGAGTTCTTTTTGGAGGCCGAGAGATCTGATTTGGGAAGTTTTGGTGTGATTGCCAATAGTTTTGTGGAGTTAGAGAAAGATTATGTTTTGTCTTTGGAGTCCTTGTATGGGAATAATGGAACTAGGACGTTTTGTGTAGGTCCCTTGTTTTTGTATGAGCAAATCGATAAAAATGGGATTGGGCTAAATGGGCCGGACCCATCTTCAAAATGGGCCGATTTGTTGAACCAGCGTGCTCAAGAGAATTCTGTTCTTTATGTGTCTTTTGGGTCGCAGGCCAACTTGTGCGATGAGCAGCTTGATGAGTTGGCTTATGGATTGGATCTATCCGGAGAAGATTACATATGGGTCGTCCGTTCGAAGACTTGGAGTAACCCAACGAATGTGATTGGTGGAGAAACAAGGGGTTTGATTGTGAGAGAATGGGTGGACCAGAAATGGGTCTTGGCCCATTGGGCCGTCGGTGGGTTCTTGAGCCATTGCGGGTGGAACTCGGTGTTGGAGAGCATGGCGAACGGGGTGCCGATTTTGGGCTGGCCCATGCAGGCCGAGCAGCACCTGAATGCCAAATACTTGGTGGAGGAGCTCAAGGTTGGAATTGGGTTAGAGAGTTGTTGGGCCCGGGATGGGAGAGTTGTGGGCCGTGAAGAAATCAGCAGAGGAGTGAAGGAGTTGATGAGAGGAGTGAGAGGGAAGCAAGCAAGAGAGAGAGCAATTGAGTTGGGAAGGATTGCAAAAAAAGCAGTCCAAGTTGGTGGGTCTTCTTATAAAGAATTGAAAGAGATTATTGAACTTATATGCAACGGGAAAACGGGAGATGATTCAATTAATAAAATCTCTAGGCGTTGTAGCAAGTGATCTCACATTCACCCCCATTGGTGAGACTTTTTGAGGGAAGAAAAGAGGAATAGGTCCTGTAATTGTATATCAGTTTGGCCTTCAAACATTCGTGAGACTTTTTTTTTTTTTTTGTCTTTTATTTTTAGAGAAAGCAAGATCTATTATTCATGTATTGTTATTTATTAGCAAGGGATTTTGGAATAATTCAATTTTCTTTTTGTGCACATAATATCTTCACAAATAAAAATCATAGCATTTTAGAATGATAATTTCAATTTGGTACTCTATATTTTAGCGAAATCTTCTGTGTTTTTTTTATAATTTTAAATTTGTATCTTAATATTTTAAAGAATTTTTTTAGTACATTAAGGCCATGTTTATTTTACTAATTCGAGTTTTACTACAGTAAAAAGTTCTCAGAAATAATCACATCTTTTTTTTCTATAGTAAAAAATTATCATATAAAGCTACATCTCAACTTAAATTAAAATTCAAATTAACAAACTAAACATGCCCTAAATATCAAATATGCCATTATCACTATTTTCTCAATTGTTGACCAGAGATCTTTGAGAGCTGTAACAAATTTTTAGTAGATATCCAGATAAAAAGTCAACTTTATCTCCCTCCGATTTTAACTAATGCATATCTTTGAAACTTATCTGATAGAATTTCTCTTGAAATTCAATGCATATCTTTGAAACTTATCTGATAGAATTTCTCTTGAAATTCAAATATGCCTGATACCATCTAGAATTTCTCTTGAAATTCAAATATGCCTGATACCATCTTCTTGCACAACAAACAATACCTAGAATTGTAGAATTTTTCTTGAATATTATTGCCATAAATGTCAACAAAAAACCTAACAACTGGTATGCAACTTGGAGGAAAACAAAAAGGAATAGGAACATCTTTTATTTTATTGCGTTCAGTATTCTCTTTTCTTGTTCAGTTGTATTTTTTAATTATGATGACTTGAGTGTAGATTTTAAGTTGAATTTGAGTTGTAATTTGAATTGAAGTTGTAACTTGAGTTTGTTTTTAAATGTGCACATTTGAGTTATAATTTGAATTGAGAATCTATTTAAATTTGTGTTTGAATAGGTCAAAACTTAAATTTGTATTTAGATAGTATTTTAATAAAAACTCAATGGTGATGAAAAATTTAATAGGGTATATGGTGGGGTTTTATTCGTCTATTCATTGTGAACGCATAAAAAAATCATCTCAATCAGAATTAAAATGAAAAAGTTATGTCGTTTTTAAGAATAAAAAAAATTTTGTTCATTAACTTGAGTTTGAGTTTAAAAACTTAAGTTGAATGGGAAACTTGAACTCAGATTTTAATCTCAAACTCAAGTTAAAAATGGAATTAAAACTCAAATTCTAACTAAAATTTTAAAAATAAATAAATTTAAATAAAATTATAACTTGAGCTCAAACTTCTTAGAAATTTTAACAGATAATTAGAGTTTTTTTTTTTCTTTTACTCCTACTAAATAATCATGATAACGGAATCATTTAACTAGGCCTTTTACCCCTGTCGTTGTTTTTTTTTTTTTACTTTCCTTTCACGAAAAAAGCTCTAAATCTCCTTTCTTTTGGCTCTTTTTATTTTCTTCCTCCTAGTAGACTAGTAGCCAACCATTTTTTATTTGTTTGTTTGTTTGCTACATGCTAATAGCCCGCTATTTTCAATTCTAATATTAAAATTCACGCGTATGATACATTCTTGTGAGAATATAATATAAAATATCATCAGTCACATAATGACCAAATTACATCCCTATTTCTTGCAACTAAAGAATGTCGAACTAAACATCCAAGTTGATTATCTAGGCAGGCCCATTTTTGTAATTTCATTTATCATGAAAATCATGACAATATTGGGTATCTTAACATTTTTTGTTGGAATCATTGATAAAATTATTTACAATTTACGTATGTTATTGTGAGCTATGCATGCAGATTGACACAGGCATAGCCTTACAGTAAAACATGAAAGGTTTTAGATTAAATTTTATATATGTGCGTTTGGTTTAGATTAAATTTTTTTTGCATGCGTGCTCCTCCGGAAGCACATACTACAATAAGAGATAAAGATTGATTCATAGCATACTCGATCAAACGTGTAATTTTCTCGTCCACTACAGATCCCATACTACCCCATAAATTGAAAATTCATAACCTCAATTACTACGAAAATGCCGTTTAATTTACCTGTACCTGTTTGAACAGCCTCCGTTAACTCATAAGGGGTTTCATAATAAGAACCACAATGAGTCGAGCCTTTTTTGGGGGTACACGTACTAGAGCATGGGAACTACCAACGTGGTGATCAGCAGGCGTGGACATCGCAGAGAAAATCATGTTGGAATCCCGTGAAGAAAGAATTGCCTGCATAATGAGAGTAAAACAACAATAAGGTATTTAAAAGGATAAAAGAACACATGATACGGTGGTGATACTCGAGAAGCACTCAGAGCAAAGAACAGGTAATTAATTTTTTATTTTTTTTATTTTTTTACACAGAGTACACATATTATTTTTACACGGTTAGTAAAGGGGAAGAGGAAACTTTGCAGGTAAGTAACAAAAAAAAATCTATTTTGGTACTATGTATAATTTACGCAAGGTTAAAAAAGGGGAAATAAATTTCGCAGTAATTAGGCAAAAAAAAAAGAGAGAGAAAATATAATTCTATCACTTGCACAAGGTTACCAAGGAAAAAAAAAAAAAAAACAGAGAGAGGAAATAAATTTTGCAGTTTGTACAAAATGACGCAATAGAAGGTATTGAGATAAGTGGTAAAACACAGTGCTAAGATAAGCAGCAAAATATTCAAGTACAGCCATTGTAGGTCATTACATTCATTAGCCAATAATTGGCTTACAGAAATTCAAAAAGAAAACACAGTACAAAAATATAACTAAGAAGAAAAATAGCAGTGACAACAACGTAGCAAAAGGAAAAACAAAATAACAGCAACATCAACAAGGAAGGCTAATAAAAAAAGCTGTGCCCCTAGAGTGACGTCCATGAACCAAACTATGCATCTAAAGAGTTGACGGCCCAGCACGAGCTCCAGTAGATGATGGCCCCGGATGATTTTCGTACACGTCAGCAGAAGAAGAACAAATCATCATGGAGCTGCAAAAGGCAGAGTTGCTACAGTATATGTTTGGTAATGATTTTTAAAGCTCAAAATCAATTTTTTTTTTAGTCATCCACGGCTATTAAAATTTGTATTTGGTAAAAAGTATAAAAAATATTTCTTAAAATTTTTTAAAAAAATTTAAAGTCAAAATTAGAAATAATTTAAATGCAACTTTAATTTTTAAATTACGCGGTAATAACTTTAGAGTATAATTAATGAAACTTTTATAATACTCATAATACTTCTGAAATTAATATTTATATAGCTACAGTTTACTAAATACTTAACTGTTTTTTATAATAATTATTTTTTTTCAGCACAACTAACGGTAATTTTTTTTAAATCTAGAGCATTACAAAACTGGCTAATAACATGTTTGTGTTCAGGTAGCTGCGGAACCACCCTTGGACTTCTGCTTTCATGGCTTCTATATTTCTCACATACTGAGCTAAAACAACTTGCATCTCAGTCTCCCTTTTAGAAATTACAGCATGAGCACGAAGCAAATCAGCTTTTATTGAGCATTCAAATACCCTCCCTCAAGTTTAATGATATACATATATTTATACGGCGGTTCTATTCACACACCCCTCTTTACTCTTTTCATCTCATTAAATTATAATTTTTTATTAAAAAAGACTTTCATATAAAATGACCAAACACGATTATAATAAACTTAATTACATAATTAAATTTTATTATAAAAATAAAATAATATTTTATTTTTTCCCTTCACACACCCCACATGTCATATTCTCAAATTACCAATAATTGTTATTTTGAAATCTATGATAAAATTTTAATTTTTTCCATTAATAGCTGTTCTAAAAAATTATATAGAAGTATGTTAAATTTTATTTACTATTTATTCTATGGTGATTGTTCTTTTGCCTTTTCTTTCCTCCATTTTGAGTTATTTTTTTTTATTTTTCTAATTTATAAAGGAGAATTGATTTTTTTTCCATTTTGTTATTTTTTATGCTTATTATGCTCGTTTATTTGTTTTTATTTGTTTTTCATTTTATATTTAATTATACCTCAATAATATAATAACTTTATTGTCATATTTTTTATTTATTTTTTATTCCTTGAATTATATTGTTTGCTATTTTATATTTTTGAGTTTCCTTTATGTTTTCTAAAAACATATTTTAATAAATTTTCTTCAACTAAAAAAAATAGAGAAATATTAAAATAATAATATTAAAATTAAAAATTAAAATTAAAATAAAACAGTACGTGTCAAAAGAAAAATAATTAATAATTAATAATTTTATATAAAAATAGTTTGAGATAAATTTGAAATAATAGGAGTTTGTAGAAAGTAAATTCAATTATTTTAAAATTATGTGAGGTGTGTGTTCAAAAGAATGTGTAGAAAATAAAATAAAATAAAATAAAAAAAGTGTGTAGAACCACCCATATTCATAAGTTCATAACGTCCACAGTTCTGTTTGTACAACTTGCGGCTGTATAAAATGAATATCTAGACTTTTTAAGTTGAAGTTCCTAGACCATCCAAAGTGCAGGTTCAAGCGCATATATATAAACAAGTTGTACAAAATGAATATCTAGACTTTTTAAGTTGAAATTCCTGAACCATCCAAAGTGAAGAAGGTTCAAGCGTGTATGTGTTTATATATATATATATATATATTAGCATATATTATTGATTTTCTATCACATTTCTTATTATACATGTATCAATAAATGTCATTAGAGAGCAAATGTCAACTCATGAGCGGGTAGTTTTTAAATCTTAAAAATGAATCGACAGTTGACACAAAGACAATGACGAGTTACCAGAAACAACTGGTGAGTGGCGAGTTGTAAATGGCGAGTCGCGAGTCGCTCAACTCCAAATCAGCAGACTAATTAAGAGATAATTCAAAATATCAAGAGAAGATCCCAATTAAAATAAACGAATCACGCCCAATAGAAAATTTTCTTATCGCCGAGAGTCCTATTTAAATTGGGAGAGTTATCCAAAAAAGATGAGGCAATCTGCATTTGAAATCCAATGGCGAATGCGCACCAAATCAGGGAATCAGAGGTGGTTATCAGCTCATGCAAACAAAAGGCCATTCCTCACGCCCAGGAAGAGGCCTACAAATCTCCAGCATTTTCTCTTTCTTTTCTCTCTCTACTCACAAATTCTCATCATTAATTATAGTGAAATTTCAAAAACCGTTACAAGGGACGAAAATTATTGATTACGAACAAACTTCTATAAATTTGTGTTCCGTCTTATTTAATTTTTTTTTTGCATATTTTATGTACCATAATCAGACTGTTAACTCGTTAATCATCCATACTGATTGATTGTAGATTTCACACTATTTGTTTATGTAATAATGGAAAACAAGAGACTGAATTATGATAGAGCCGCGAATATTTTCCAAAAGCAACAAGACACATTTATATGACAAAATTAATATTTGTTAATTACTCATGAGTTGCATCGTTATCATATATCAATTTCCAAGGTTTGATTGAGACTTCAGAGGCTAAGATCGATAGTGCTTCATAAAGTTTGATTGGAGAAAATGACGTCCATTTGCTGAATTGCCCAAGCTCTTAAACATGATTGATGATCATGACGTCAGATTACCAAACAAATATATGCACGAGCATATAAGATATAAGGTAAAAGCTCTTAGAAATAATCACATCTAATTTTTTTGTTATAATAAAAAACTCTTACATAAAATTATATCTTAATTTAAATTAAAAATTTAAATAAGTGAACTCAACAGAGTCTAAATCTTTTGGACACACAAATCACAATCAAGAATATACTTTCTAATATCTATTCGGCTAATTAGGATAAAGTGATGATAACGTATTTTTGTCATATACTTAAATTGAAAGAATCGGCCAACAACATTCTCAAGGGGCCTCTAGATACGGGTCAAATTAAAGGAGAAAAAGAAATATCTGGGGGACACGATTTGATGTTAGCTATAAAAAAAATACAGGTTTTTCAAAAAAAGAAAAAAATTGTTTTATCTTTTGAATTGCCTTTTCCAAAACATGGAGCTTACCTTATGTCAGATCAATCTTCTCATGAACCTAATTTATTGCTGGAGCCTTCGATCATTGTTTGTTGGCGGATGCTGTATATGCAAGAAGAAATGAATTCCCTAAAAAAATTGGGAATTCAAAGTGTTTTTGGTGTCATGGTGTGCATATAATGTTTAGTGTATAGAACCTAACTTTAACCTTTGTACATTTATGACGTGAATACCTACACGTAATCAGAATGAGCATAAATTAGAGTGGACAGAATTCAGAGTTGGTAAGATTCGAAGTGAGGAATTGTAGTCAGAATAAGCTGTTTACTTAGTGATAGAATTCAGAATCGGAGTCATTCTAAATCTCATTCATACGTTGACTTACACCCAGAATCAGAATAAAAAAGTGTAAAAGTATTAATATACCCTTTAAATCAATTTGATATTTTCAATTTAAAAAATATATTGTGTACCTATTATATTAAAATTAATCATAATTAAAATATTTAGTGTAATAATTGAGTACTAAAATAATAAATATATGTTGCATTTATTATTTTTTGAATTTTATTTTGAATTGTGTATTTATAAGTAAAATAAGGGTATAATAGTAAATTGATATTAATATTAGGAATGAAAGTCTCAATCCAAGAGGGCATGGGAATGCCAATCCCATTTCTCAATTCCAAATTTGAGTGGGACCCACCAATCTCACTCTCATTTCAGGATAAAAAAGAACAAGTAAACATGGGATTGACTCACATTCTCCACTCTCATTCTTCAATCATAGTAAGTAAACATGCCATTGGTTCTTCTAGTTCTTTTCATTTTGGGAGAAGGGGTAAATTATAGATAAAAACACAAATTTTAACTGTGAATGTTTAAAGAATTGATTTTAAATTTCAAGAATTATTACTAAACATATCCAATATATCATAAGAATCTAATTGCATCAATTATTATAATTTTTTTATTAATTACTTAATTTATTACTATTGTCAAATTAATACAGTAATTATATCCACCTATTGATAACTGATGGAGTGAGCGAGTAACTATGAAAACTGTACCCGTATATATAAAAATATAAATAGAGAGAGAGAAAGCACGCTGGTACAATTCGATCTAGTTGTCACTAGTACCCACGAATCTTTACCTGTCTCCCACGTTGATCTTGCACAGACGCACGTGGAATTTTGTTTCTATAAAAGCTCACATGGAATACAAGATTACGTTGATTCGTCAAATCTCTCTTTTTTTCCCCCTTTTATCTTGTCTTTGAATAATTATGTCAAATTTTGAGCGAAATTGATGAGTGAAATTGATAACATTGTTTTCTTTTCCCTTCTGTCTTATTATGTAATAGAAAGAAACTACAATTGGTGAATTGCAAAATTATTAATAAATAATTATTGAGTGCGTTTGAAATTTATTTTAACGTTTTCAATCTCAAATAGAAATTATTTTTAAAAATGCGTTTGGTAATTTTAGTAAGAAATTATTTTTAATGTAAAAAAAACTCATTAATGTCTTTATTTCTCGCTATCTACTCGAGAGAAGAAAAAACGAAAACAAAAAATGAAAAATGATTAAAAATCATTTTTCATTTCTCCCTCATTTTATACTAAACCAAAAAATCATTTTTATTTCTGTTTTTTGTCTTTATTACGTTAAACGCCGTTTTAGAAACGTTCTCATTTTTTTCTCGAAAAACATAAAAAATAAAAACGGGATCAATTTCAAACGTGACCATTGATTCTCATTTTAGGAATTTGCAAGTTACAAGTTGCAACACTCATTTTCATAAATGTAATATGACATCCTCTTCATAAATGTAATCCAAGATCTTTACAATAAAGTATGTAATTAATATAGGTTTCTCAATATTAGATCAGATTAAAATTATTTCAAAACAAATAAAAATAATGATAGAAACATTAATTTTAATTTTAAATATTTTTAGTTAATGTGAGTTATTATTTTTTATCGATAAGTGTTTACAAGAAGATTATCATGTCAATTAATAAGGAGAATTACATTTACAATAAACATTTGTGTAGTTAGTGAGTCGAATGTTTCACTTATCATGATGGATATCATTTGAATTACTCACATTTATCTCATTTTGTTAGAGTTTATGTTAAATCAAATAAAAAATGAGGGGATTAAGTACGGTCATGTAATTTTTTCGCTTGTTTTAATAGAATTTCTAATAGAAAAATGATGACTGCACCACTCCTATTTTTTTGGTTGGTTAATAACAAAAAAATTCAAAAAACTAGGATTAAGTGAGACTAATATGAAATTGATGTGGCAAAATGGAAATTTTTTCAAAATTAGAATGATAAAGGGTATTGGTGAGAATATTCTTAACTTTTTCTTTCACATCCACCCTCAACTAATAAAATAAGAGCAAGAATAAAATACTACCCACTAATAAAAAATAGATTCTGCAATGTAAAACTTACACGTGAGGCACACCTTCTATTAATAATGGTATTTAGTGCTCTGTGTCTAAGCATTTTTCATAAAATAAAAATATATAAAACCAAAGGTGGGTTTTTTCTTCACGGGAACACCCCATTAAAACCAAGCTACGCACAAAGAATCACTGCTAACCAAACCAAACCAAAACTCCCCACGCTTTCACAGCCAACGAAACAACCCAAACCCCTCAACCACTTGATTGACACTTTCGTTTCTCTACTACTCAAACAGTCACCAACTCACACCTAAACAAAACTATGGAATATTCCGGCGACAATGAATTAGCGAAAACGACAACAACATTCGACGTGATTGTAGTCGGCGCCGGCGTCATGGGAAGCTCCGCCGCGTACCATACGGCCAAGCGAGGCGAAAAGACTCTCCTCCTCGAGCAATACGACTTCCTCCACCACCGCGGCTCCTCCCACGGCGAGTCACGCACCATACGCGCCACCTACCCGGAGGATTACTACACGCCTTTGGTCCTCAAGTCCCACGCGCTCTGGCAACGGGCCGAGTCGGAGATCGGCTACAGGGTCTACTTCAAGGCCCGCCAGCTCGACATGGGCCCGTCCGATTCCAGAACTCTCCGGGCCGTCATCTCCACGTGTCAAAAACACTCCATTCCTTACCGGGAACTGGATGGCCCAAAACTCCACGACGAGTTCTCCGGCCGGGTCCAGATCCCGGAAAATTGGTCCGCGATCTCGACCGAGTACGGCGGTGTCATTAAGCCCACGAAGGCCGTTTGCATGTTACAAACACTCGCCTTTACGAACGGCGCCGTTTTGAGGGACAACACGGAAGTGACTGAGATTAAGAGAGATGAAAACGGCGGCGTTTTGGTGGTTACGGCCAATGGGGAGGTTTTTAAGGGAAAGAAGTGTATTGTCACGGTTGGCGCGTGGACTAAGAAGTTAATTAAGGCCGTTAGCGGGGTTGAAATTCCAATTCAGCCCCTGGAGACCACCGTCTGCTATTGGAGGATCAAGGAGGGGTATAAACGCGATTACGAGCTCGGCAGCGGTGGCGAGGACGGCGGCTTCCCGACGTTCGCCTGCTTTGGCTTTCCATACGTGTATGGAACGCCGTCGTTCGAGTTCCCGGGGCTGATCAAGGTCGCCGTCCACGGCGGGTACAAGTGCGACCCGGACGATCGGCCGTGGGGCCCGGGGGCGGTTTCCATGGAGGAGCTGAGGGAGTGGGTCGAGGCACGGTTTTCGGGTCGGGTTGACCCGACGGGTCCTGTAAAGACCCAGCTTTGCATGTACTCGATGACTCCAGACGAGGATTTTGTCTTGGATTTCTTGGGAGGGGAGTTTGGGGAGGACGTGGTGGTAGGGGCCGGGTTTTCGGGGCACGGGTTTAAGATGGCGCCGGCGGTGGGGATGGTCCTGGCGGACTTGGCGCTGAAAGGGGTTGCGGAAGGGGTGGAGTTGGATAAATTTAGGTTAAGGAGGTTTGAAGGGAATCCAAAAGGTAATGTCAAGGATTTTGAGGACCAAGTCAAACACTCACAATAATCAGTACTGTTGAGATCAGTCTTCACCAAAAAGTTTGAGGGGTTGTTATTTTAGAGTGTAATTTGAGTGTAGTTTTTGAGTTGAATTTGAGTTATAATTTGAGTTAAAGTTGTAATTTGAATAAAATTGAGTAAAGTTGAATAAAATTGAAACTTAAAATAACGTGAATTTAAATAAAGTTGTAACTTGAGTTTAAATTTTTTTTGAGTTTTGTTGCGAAAAACAACCCCTGAGTGAGTCATGATTGAGATGTATTTGTTTTTTTGTTGTTGTTCTGTTTTAGTGGGTTGAGAGCCGTTGATTTTTCATCTTGTTAATTATGATCACTGGCTCTTAAATATGGTTTAAGAGGATGAATTCTGAAAATGGTTTAATATAATAAAAGGTTTATTTTATTTTATTTTTTATTTTTTTTTACCTCTACCCCATACGAATTGAGCCATGTGATCATTCACCCCATTAAGATAATGACCCGCCAGATTTATTTTTGATTATTTGAACAAGATCTGTTTTTTCTTCTGGGCTTCTTTTTGTTGTTTAGCATTGGCCAACTGTTTCTATTGGCGTTTTTCTCATTTGATGATGGCTTCATGCCATATATGGATACCAGCTCTGATTGAAAAACGACCGTTCATTTTTTTTTTTTTTCCCTGTTTCCTTGCTCTGTCCTTTTCCTTTCCTGTAACTGCAAGTTCCACCACGCGTACATATACAACTATACAACGAAAAAAAGAGTCAATAGAGATGTTATCCCTTTTTTCGGTTCCTCTCAACAAAACCAGAAAAAGAAAATAATAAAAATGAAAATAAGAAGAAATGAGCTATCTTAATTCTGAACAGTATGTAAATGTATTTACACAGAGTTTTGGAACACAGGATTTTCAGATCTAATAACTTATGGGCTAAGAAACTAGTCAAGAAACAAGTTATGTAAACCAGTTGGCTTGAGGCGCTCTAAATCTTGGCTTCGGAATTCATAGAGAACCAAGATGCGTGCATATGAGATCACCATTAGTTTTAGTCTAATACTACGCGTTCACACACTAATCAAGAATTTTTTTTTCTCTTCTTTTTTTATTGGTTAGAGAAGGGGTAAAGATAATGATGAAATCATGTCAATTCATCATACTACATTCAGCCGTCAATTGATAAACACAAGATATGTATATACGAAAATATGGGGAGAATCATGAAGTTCATTGCATTCTATATCATGTTATGACTTCACAATAATGTTACCAACGTTCGCCCTCTTATCCATTTGAAGATTGAAGATATATGGATATATTCATCCACGTCATCCTATCCTTTTTCCCATAATCCCATATATCTTCATCCACGTCATCCTAACCTTTTTCCCATAATCCAAAATTATGATTCTTGGTAGCTATTTTCTAAGAAGACATTAGGTTTATTAGATGAAGAAAGATTCAGTAAAATAAGATGCCAACTTCAAGAATTTGAGCTCATTCATTAAACCGGTACAAATGACAGATCTGTGTGATTGGTACAAAACAAAATATAATAAAACCGGTTGAATTGAGCTTGTATAAACTAACAGCCTCTAAATTTTTAGAGAAGAATCAGTAAAATAATTGCAGCTATAAGGTATACAACCTTTCATTGGACTTTGCACAATCTATAATATCTGTATTGTGAGGGCGGCACCTCTTGCTCTTTTTATTTGATGCAACCAAGCAAATCTGAGATTCATACAAATAAAAAATGGGAACCCCAGTTGCGTGGTTGGGCAGAACAATAAATCAATTGGACAACTTCTAGGAACAGTGAAAAAAACAAGAAGATTGCTATGGTCCACACTCCATGCCCTTCTGACATTGGAACCGGATCCAGACCTGTAATACAAGAAAATGCAACATATTTAGTATCATAATTGCAACATATTTTAATATTTAATATGGGAAATATACCACCACAGCCTGAAAGATGAACACTAACCAAATTTGGCATCTCAAACTGCAAAGGTTGCCAGAAGTGCATGCAATACAACCCAATAGAGAATAATTCCTAGTCGAAATGCAGGCTGCCGCATCAAAGCCCGATCGCAAGAAACCCTGGCATTGCATAAACATAAATACATCAGCATCAATAGAGAAGGAAAGGTTCGCATTTTATCTTTTATTTTACTAGTCAACATGACAAAATTATTCACATCTTTTCGTGGCGTGGCTGCATGCAGTATATTCCTCTAGTCTACAAATATAATAATACCAAGAAAATATATGCTTACCAGAGGCCATCGACCATGTCACTGACCGGTCTTGTAAACTTTGGGACAATGCTTGATGTAGTAAGCGACTTGAAACCGTGAACTAAGATGGAGGAAACAAAGATAAGTTGTTATAAACAATAAGGTGGAGGAAAAAAATAAGTTGTTATAAACAATCCAAACTAGGAGAGCTTTTGTCTGAGCAAAACAAGAAACAAGGAATTACATAGGTTTTCAGCTTACCTTTATCATCATCTTCGTCTTCTAACCTAGTACTACTACCAGGATCCATATCTATTGCAATGGCAACTTGTTCATTATTGCCTTTACGCAAACTGCGGACTTGAGATGCAACTGGAGTACTTGGTACTGTCCATTTGTTTATCTGCACAATCCACAACACCCAATTAATAAACAAACAAGGAACTGAATCTAGCAGTGCTCTTTATTAGTATTCTAAATAATAAATAACACACATATGCTCATAAATAAAAAATGATGTAACAATCTCATGATTGGGTATTGAAGTCCGTTTTACACAACAGAGTACGCACATAATTTGCATAAAATATAGCTTACAACATAGCTCTAGCTACTCTTTACTTCTTATTAACTCCCAGAAGAGTTACGTGGTTTCAACAAAGAAACTCTGAATTAACAATTAGTTTGAAATTGCAAGAACAAATGCAGAAGCATGTAAAATTTGGACCATATCGCATGAGATGTAATGTGCAAAATAACAAGCTCTACAGGAACATGAAAAGAATGATTCGGAGAAAATAGCACAAATGCTTATATTGAAAGAATAGTTAAGCACATCGAACATCATACCATGGGCTCAACTTCCATAATTTCGGAGGTTACGCCAGTTGCCATTTCAGAAGTTTCTACACCTTCAAGAAAGTTTAAACGTGATTCCTTGTCACGCAAAGATCTCTCAAGAATCTCTTCCTTGCGTGTCAACTCGTCCACCTTACTCCTTTCTACTTGCAACAATGTATCCTTGCTTTGAGCCACTTCCCGCAGATCTACCAAGTCTGATAAAACAGACTCTATCTTCTTTTGAAGTAACTCCTTGTGTTCATAAACCCAATCATTGTTCTTAATATCAGGATGCACATTGTTCGTTCCAACATTACTTATCATCATATCAAACCATGTCAAGAACTCATGGAAATCATCTGAATCTCTGTTGTTGCTCATCTGTGATGCAACAAGAGCATCATTTGTGCACCTAGTGACCTCCTGTCGCAAGAAAGAAATCTCGGCATCCCGATCTTGCAACTGTGATTGAAGCTTTTCAACCTCCGCAAGGAGACTCGCAGACAATTGATGAAGCTCATCAAACTTACTCACGGTGATGGAAAGCTTTTTTGTAACTTTCCCTCGAGAAGCTTCGAGATTCTCCAAATCTAAATTTTTCTGTTCCAAAACTTTTTCCAGTTCCTCTATCTTTTTCATAAGACCTTCCATCTGCGACTCCTCCTCATCAAGTGCTTGCATTAAGGCCTCGATTTCTGTTATAAGGAAAAAAATTTCCATTAGCAATTATATAATAAGTGATAAGAGAATACAACAATATAAAGAGGAGGGAAAAAGGTCCATGTGAAGTGACCTTGGTCCTTGGCAGCCATAATATCATTAAGTGATCTGACATTCTGTTCTAACTCTGTAGAGGTTGCATGCGCATCCTCCAACACCTTTACTCTCTGTTCCAGTAAGTTTCTTTCACCCCCCATGACCTCTAGTTGTTTCTCCAAATCAACCACCTGAGTTCTCGAAGATTGAAGATCTAATGAAGAACGTGCCGCTGCAGCTTCAGCCGCCTTTATTTGACTTACCAACTCCATGCAAATTCTTTCCTTTTGAATTTCCTTCTCCTGAAGTTCTTTCTGCAAATCTGTGATGGCATTCTTCATTTGTTTTTGTCTACCTTCCACGATTTCAGCTTTTATACCAGCAAAATCCCTGACAGCAAACAGTAGCTTGTCTGCCAAAGTCCTAATAGATTCTTCAGAGGACACTTGACCTGATCCACCAAAAGATATTCCTCCACCTGCAAATGGACTTGGTTTTGAGTTTATCCCCGAATCTCCAGTGGCCAAGTTATTTCCAAGCAATTCAGGTTTCATACTTTCTATTTCCATCAGAGAACTGGATAATGCTTCAAAAAGCAAAGCAATATTTTTCTGCAAAATACCAAGTTCTTTGTCCTTTTCCTTTTCAGTTGACTCCATATGCATAATGTCTCTCTTCAGCGCTTCACAAGTCTCATTATGGGAAACTATTTCCCTATGAGCATTTTCCATTAATTTAGATAGACTGCTGGCTTTTTCGTGTAATGAACTGGAGTGCTTGTTCAACTTTTCTTTAAGAACTCCAACCTCAATTATGACTTCTTGCAGTTGACTCCCGAGAGAACTACAGATTTCAGTTACAGAATCGCCATCAAACTCACCATGGATACTGGAGTCTAACCAAGAATCAATAGAAGAAAATAGTCCCTGAACAAGGAAACACAAAAAGAGAAGAAATAATAAGTGACATATTTCATGCTAAACCATGTGCAGTAACAAGCTACACAGGATAAAACTAGACATCATTAACAACGACGACAATACAGACAACTATAAGATTAAGTAGATGACCATCAGTGAATAAAGCAACTTGGGAAAACAATAGATGTGCCCTAATGGTGCCATTCCCAGAGCAGGAAGGTGCGGAAGAAGGAATTGGTATACAGGAGTGTGACCCAAGAAATCAATAAAAAAAAAATCCTAATTGCAAGCATCATCATTTGACTTTACGAAGGCATCATCTGAAATGCTATGAACACATAACTGCACTTGTAAACCACGTGATATAGTCCAACTCAATAAACAAAAACAAAATAAGTGTGAAATAGAAGATAGGCGACTTTTTTGGGCAAAAAAAGGCAAAAATACGTCAAAAAAGAAAAAGGAATAAATACATCAAAGAGAGCATAATTACAAGATAGGAAACGAATTCTTCCAGCCAAAAATCTCTTGGCAATACTGACTATGACAAAAGACAAAACATAGCGACCCAAATGTGCAAAGAAAAGGAGG